TCTATAAAAGTCACATGTCAAACTGCATTTAAAGTATATTTCCACTTTTGCAGTCTAAATTTGAGAAAACCCCAATAGATGTTTGTTATGTGTTACCATTCAAATAAATTATTATTATACAGGATTTATATAGCGCCAACAGTTTGCTCAGCACTTTACAATATACCGGGAGACAATACAGCAACAATACAGTTCAATTCAAGAGGGATAGGAGGGCCCTGCTTCTTGAAGCTTATAATATAGGAGTGAGGGGCTAGTGGTACAAAAGGTAGTAACTGTGGGGGATGGACTGGCTGGGAAGAGTAGAAGATTCCATTATTAGCTGAAGGCAGGATAGGCTTCCCTTAAGAGAGAGGTTTCCAGAGATCGCCTAAAAGTGAGCAGAGTAGGCGATAGTCTGATAAATTGGGGTAGAGTTCCAGAGGATGGGGGAAGCTCTGGAGAAGTCCTGGAGACGAGCATGGGAGGAGGAGACAAGGGAGCTAGAGAGTAGGAGGTCTTGCAAAGAGCAGAGAGTATGGTTTGGGTGATATTTAGAGACACAATCGGTGATGTAATTTGGGGCAGAGTTATAAATGGCTTTATACGTTATTGTTAATGTTTTGAATTTTATCCGTTGGGCAATGGGAAGCCAGTGGAGGGATTGGCAGAGAGGGATGGCAGATACAGAACGGTTAGTAAGGTGGACGAGTCTGGCAGCACCATTCATGATAGACTGAAGAGGGGATAGCCTGCGATGAGGCAGGCCAATGAGGAGGGAGTTACAATAGTCAAGGCGAGATATAACAAGGGAGTGAATAAGTTGCTTAGTGGTTTCCGTGGTTAGAAACGGCCGTATCTTGGAGATGTTACAGAGGTGAAGTCTACAAGATTTGGACAGTGAATGGATTTGGGACTGAAAGGACAGATGGGAGTCTAGGATTACACCTAGTACCCTGGCATGAGGGGAGGGACTGATGATTGTGTTATTGATCTTGATGAAGAAGTCAGGGGAGGGGGCACAGGCTGGGGGGAATACTAAGAGCTCAGTTTTGGAAAGATTGAGTTTGAGGAAGTGGAGTGACATCCATGCCGATATGTCACTTAGTAGGTTAGTAATGGTAGAGGAGACTGAAGGGGCGAGGTGAGGAGTAGAAAGATAGATTTGTGTGTCATCAGCATAGAGATGGTACTGAAAGCCATAGGAGTTTATCAAGTGACCAAGGGAGGAGGTGTAGATGGAGAAGAGAAGGGGTCCAAGAACAGAACCTTGAGGGACCCCTACGGAAAGAGGGAGTGAAGAGGAGGAGGCAGCGTTATAGGTAATGCTGAAGGAGCGCTGCGATAGGTAGGAGGAGAACCACGAGAGAGCAGAGTCTCTGAGGCCAAGAGAGTGGAGTTTTTTGAGAAGGAGGGGATGGTCACCTGTATCAAAAGCCGAAGAGAAGACAAGTAGTAAGAGAACAGAGTAGTGGCCATTGGTTTTAGCTGTTAGTAGATCATTAGTGAGTTTTAGTAGGGCAGTTTCAGTGGAGTGTAGTGAGCAAAAGCCAGATTGTAAAGGGTCAAGAAGGTTGTCAGTGAGGTGGGAGCTCAGGCGATTGTAGACTAAGCGTTCTAGGAGTTTAGAGGTAAACGGAGCAGGGAGTTGGGTCTTAAGTTCAGGTTGGTGGGGTCCAGGGAGGGCTTTTTAAATAAGGGAGTGATGTGTGCATGCTTTAGAGGGGAGGGAAAGGCACCAGTAGAGATAGCGAGACAGGCTTCTGAGAAAACCTTAGTGACCTCTTCGGTAGTAGCAAGGTCAAAAGAGGGAAGTGTTGAGGGAGGTTTAGTATAAGGTATGCTAAGTGGGATGAATGTCTGTGCAGTGGAGAAGCCCCTACAAATTGCGTCAATCTTGTTTTTGAAATGATTTGCAATCTCGTGAGCAGAGAGTGAGGTACTGTGTGGAGGTGGAGAAAGTAGACAATTAAAAGCAGAGAAGAGACGACGAGGACTGGATGACAAGGTATTAATAAGAGTGACAAAGTAGGCTTGTTTGGCAGCATGAAGGGAGGAATTGTATGTTAAGAAAGCAGATTTATATAGGGTGAATGCTTGTTGAGATTTGTTTTTCTGCCACAATCGCTCCAGCGAACGACTATGTCGTTTAAGATTTCTGGTGTTGTCAGTCTGCCAAGGTTGTAATGGTCAGGGCCTGATGCTTCGTGTTGTTAGAGGAGCAAGTGAGTCTAATGTGGATGAAAGCGAACTGTTGTAGACAGTAGTGCCAGGTGAGGGCAGGACAGGGGAGAGATTCTGTCATAGAGTTGGTTAGTTGCAGAGTGGAAAGGAGCAGGGTTCAAGTCGTGAAGGTTTCTGCGGGTAAGTGTTTGCTGCTTGAAGGGATAGGTGTTTGAAGACGAGGACACTGTGACGGTGATTAGATTGTGATCAGAGAGAGGAAAGGGGGTGTTTTTGAGGTTGTAGAGAGTGCAAAGATGGGAGAAAACAAGGTCTAATGTATTCCCGTCAGAGTGAGTGGAGGACTGTATACACTGTGATAATGCAAAAGATGAACTACTTACATTTTAGATGTTTGAGGAGAATGTGTCATGACGATCTGCAAGCATTTCTCAGCTAGCTTAAGCTGCACATAGAAGGGTTGAAATTTGGACAGTTCAGCAAGAACCAACTGAATTTCGATCTATGTATGAGCACTGTGGCTGTACAGATGTCAATCTACCCATCGACTTCTATACAACTGCCCTGCTGTAAAATTTCCTCTCGATCAATGCTGCTGTACAAATACGACACAGTGGGAGGACTGGTCAGTTTGTTTTCCATTCAACCTGCTGGTTGAACTGGAAAAAAAAAATGGACTCATCTATGGCCAACTTTAGCCTGATCTGTTCCAATAGCTGTGGTGGGGACTAGCTGAGTCCGGTTCTCATTAACATACAATGGGGAAGCATAGCTCCTAAACCTTTAACCCCTTGCTTAAGCCAGCCGGTTTAGCAGGGACTTGCTGAGTTTCAATCCATCTATGGGCAGGCAGGCTATCTAGTGATCGACTTCAGTACAACCAGCCTGTTGTGTTTCTTTCGTATGATCCCTGCCGGAGGCTATAGCAGCGGTGATCATTGTGTTCTGAGGGCAAGGAAACCTCCTGCTGTCTGAATACAAAACCGCAGTGGGAGGGATTACCTCATCTACCTCAAATGTGTGGATGGGGGAATCAGGTCAGTTTTTTGTTCAACTCTCAGGTTGAAAAAAAAAAAAAAAAAAAAAAAAAAGGAAGGACCCATTTGGGCTGCCTTTGAGTAGAGACATCCAGAGCCTCAAAGAATTGGATGAAGGATGGATTGGAATGAGCAAACCTTAATTTGGATTTCTGAATGTGTTGATGGGGGAATCAAGCAATTTTCTTTCCCTCAACCCATGGTTGAAGGAAAGAACATTGCTTAATGTCTAGCTTAAGAGTGTTCAAATCTAGTAAAATTGATAATATATCTTCTCTGCACAGTACAGACAGGGTTAATCGTGGTAAACACAGCTTCCCAGACCCCTCATAAAAAATTCAGTAGAAATTCTCTTCTGGAACATCAGCAAAGAAAAAAATCTAAAAAATATAAACTGCAACTTTTTTTTTGTAAGTTATGCTATCTGAATGGGGACACAATTATAAGTTAGGTATTCTCCAAATTTGGATGCAAAAGATGAAATACCCTTTAAGTAACTTAAACAATTGTAATGAACTCTTTCCTTTAACACTTTGATACCAAGGCCACCTTTTAGCTACAACCAGAGGCATAACACCACTGCAGACCAGGATTACACTAGGAGGGCCAACCCTATCTGGTTCCATAATAATCCACCAAGACAACAATAGTTTAAGGCATAGCATTTCTTACCATAAATCAGGCTCCCTTTACAGACTGCTATGACTGAGAAGATAGTGCAGCCATAATCACTTAAGGTGAAGGCAGTGTATCTATTACACTACAAACTACTTTCCTGCCATATGCAGTTACATAACTTTAATGTACTATATCTTGCTCTTCAATTGCGTGTGTGAAATTTCCAATGCATTACATGCTTCATACAGTGCCACAGGTAGCCACGAAAAAAAAAAAAAAAAATAAAAATACATAAAAAATGGAATTCAGAAACGCATGACAGATAATATGATTTAACTCTTTATTTCTTTTTTAAAAGCCATTCCTCTTAAATAAGATCCTAAACATTCACCAGACTGTCACTGTATAAAAATGTACAGTGGCTTTATTGACATGTACATTCCATAAAGTTTACACAGCTGCAAAGATATGAGGCACACTCAGTATTGCACTTCATTAAAAGTTCAGGCTCAAACATAACCCAGAAGTTTAAATGAAACTGCCTTTGTAATGTAATAAATTTTATACGGGACGAACATTGATATTTTTATGTACAGCATTTGTTACAACTTTTATACCTTGTTATGTTTATGTACCCACCAAAAGCCATAAACCACCCTTCACTTCTCTGCTGGGCACAATGCAGGGTTCTCCAGCAACCATAGAGTTATATTAACAGTCTAGTAGATAAACAAATATTCTCCTTTCTTCCCACGAGATGCAAGTACACTTGTACAGGGCTACTGGAAAGTCAGCGTTCATTACTGTGGCTTATCTTCTGGCCATACATATACTGTATACATTATTTATATATAACCTTGATATGGGGAGCCTCTCTACTGTGTGCATTCAAGCATGTGCTGTGCACATCGGGTGCTATATGTAATGACCACATGCAAGCACCGCACAGTTATCAGTTTGAAGAGAACATGTAAGGTTTGGTTTGAAGAGCACGTGTCGCGAATACACAGCTGAATCTGAGGCCTCCTTCCTGATTAACCTTGTTCGCAGACTCTTTGGTCCCATCCTGACCGAAGGCTGTCGTCCAGAACCTGCCTGGCGTGACAGACTGCTGAAGTCTGTCTTGAAATTCACAAAAAGGAAAGAAAATTTAACAAAAGTGGAAAGGAAAAATAGGCTCATTTAAAAAGTGTGGGCATTTCTGCACACTCCACAGCCCAATGCAAACTCTTCTCCCGTGGGCGGATGAACCACATGAAGAGGACACTCTGTTCCTTCAAGTTGTTTGCCTTTTGGACCTAAAGAACAAAAAAAAAAAAAAAAATAAGAATGGAATGTAAAACACTAACTGAGCAAACAACTTTAAAGATTTTTTTTCTTTTTTTTTTGTATTTCGCATGGAAAAGGTACAAAAGGAGGGAACCTAAACTGCTCAGGAGAGCTTGGTGCAGAAAATATAAAAGCCACTACAATAAAAAAAAAAAAAACAAACATAACACCTTAAACCCCAACCCCACTTCCCCATTCCCAAGCTGCAACCCGTTCTGGGTATACACAATGCATATTCATTTCCAATGATGGCTCACAAGACAACTGTCCCTGTTCAATGAAACACCATTTTTTTTTATACCCATATACCTGGAGTAATAGGATGACTAAAGTACATGACCCATAGTTCTAGAAAACTCCTCAAAAACTTCCATGAGAAAAGTTAAGGAGCTCTATTCACCAAGTAAATCTACCTCTAATGGCAGGGCCGGGACAAGGGGTGGGCACTGTGGTATTATTTGAGAAGGGGGGGGGGGGGGAGCACTGCGGGGTGATTGAGGGGGGAATGGATTTGTGTTAGGAGAAATTTAGGGCGCAGCAGGGGGTAAGAACTGTTTCAGAAGATAAATTAAGGGGGCATGTGCTCAGAGTGGTGATTTAGGGGGATTTGTGCTAGAAGAGGTGATATGGTAGGAGGGAATTGTGCTAGCAGGGGAAATTTTTGTTTTGGGGGGATTTGTACTAGTAGGATTGATTGGGGGGGGGGGAGTGTATTTGTGCTCAGGAGGGGAAATTTCAGGGTTAGAGGATTTGTGCTAGGAGGGGTCACTTGTGCTGGAAGGATTATAGGAAGCTCAGAGCTGGTAGGGGGGATTTCAGCAGGGGAGTGAATTCGTACTGGGAGGAGGGGGAATTTATGCTTAGGGAAGTATGCAGATGAGTACTCAGTTTTTTGGGAGTGGATTTTAGCAGATACATAATCTCATACATTATGAGGGGGAGCAGGTTGACATGTTCGCCCTGGGCTCTAACTGATCTTGTCCCGGCACTGACAAGCGCCCCCCCCTTCTAATACATTGACAGTGGGTACATTTCAATTACCATCTGAATATTCACAAACACCCCTAGGCATTGGTGGAGGGAGTGGATAGTCAGGGCTGCCATATTTTATTTAACTTTCTAGAGCATTCTCTGCTCAGATAGGTCACTTTGTAATATAGTATGATATCACCAAGGTCTTTCAACAGGTCACAGGGGGAGTCGTAGGTGCCTTCCATTGTAATATGGCCTTGTGTGCATAAAACTGTACTGTACTGTGTACTGAGCAGTGTCCTTACAGCCCTAGTTGGAACAACCCCTCCACCAAACCCAAAAGAGACACCGAGTTCGTCAGTGGCAGAGACACTGCTAGGACATTAATACAGATTGGACACCCCAAACCAGAACCTTTGAATCAACAAACACTACCAGAAAGGGTGACCAAATATTTTCCAAGCATCCTAGAAAGTACAAGATTTACTACTGTTCAGGATTATAGATCTATTCATTTTGGGAACACTGCAGGGACTTGAACAGAGTCTGCTTTTGTCCTTAAAAACCAGTTTCAGGTGTTTTACAAAAATATTCAAGTAGTAAAAAAAATAAAAAAATGAAACATGGCATACAATGAAAAGAAATGGGTTTTAAAGTGAAACTGCAGCCACAGAAACAAATACAAATTCATAATGGGATCTCACTGTATGCAATCCATAGCTGCAGTTCTGGAAATAGAACACTGGCTATATTATCCAGTGGGTACAAATAAATTATTTATTCAATAGCACAGAGCATTTAACATAACTCAAAAAAAAACTACCCCCCCCCCCCCCATAAATTTGTATGTCTGTGGCTGCAGTTTCACTTTAATGCACACCTACACAGCTTCATATTAAGCTCTAATTCAAGTTCAGCTCCAGCAGTCAAAAGGAAATATCTGGTGTTTCCCCAAGTATGAAGAATTCATACACTAAAAAGGACACCAATTATGTTGGTTTACCTCATATTGTTATAGACTTAGCAGACAGTCAGTACTTCTGCACCATACTCTCGGAATGAGTGAGTGCTGGTTACTCAGTAATCGACTAACCATAATAAAGCAAAGTTCCAGTTGAATTAAAAAAAACAAAAAAAACTGTAGCTGCTATTTAAAATTACACTAACCTGTCCCCCAGTCCAGTGGTGTCCTCACCGTGGCTGGTTTCGCTGGCCATCTTCTCCCCCCAGTGCCAGCATCTTCAGTGTGGGCACCCAGCTGTGGCTTCATTGCCGGGTGCCCACTGCACATGTAGATCTGCTCTTTGTGAATGGTCTTGTAGTCTTCTGGGACCGGTCACATGTCCCAGAAGACTACAGGGAGGACAACTTCCGCACGCCTTATGCTATCGCACCAGAAGTGGGAACGGGTACCTGTCAAATTTGTGTCCCTGCCCGTCACCCCCCCCCAAAGGGTGCCAATCCTTAACGGGGAGCAGGGGACAAAGTCTTAAAGTGGAACTTCCCTTTTTATTCCACATTCTCATTATTTACAGCAGCAAACAGTGAAAATGTAATAAAAAACAATATGTCCTGTTCCCATACACGTAAAGTTAACTCAGGCCATAAACAAGTCTTTATCAATACCATTTTCTTATCCATTGAAAAGTTAAGGAAATCACCATCAGTTTAGTATCAAAATTAAATCTCACAACAACTCTGGTACTAACCTGCTGGACAATGTGGAAGTTCTTCTTTAAGTATGCTGGTCATCCTCTGGAAGTCATCATGGCAGGCATTACAAAAATGGGTTGTTCCAAAGCAGAAAAAACACCGCCACGGAGCAGCAGTAACGACATTTGTACTCTAGGAAATCTGTACCATGTTTCGGGCACATCTGTCACAGGGAAAACGAGTGTGTCAAGACTTTGCCAAATATGGTATTGCAGAATAGATTTAAAAGGTGCATTAAATGGGATGTCAGTCGCCTTCACATTAATATTTACATTATCACTTTAAAGAATAGCTTCTATGTGGTACATATTGTCAAAGCTGTTAGAGTCACCCTAAAAAAAATTCACTTTTTGCATACCTGAGCCCTGGACACATCTGAGCACGCTCCACATATTAGCTCTCTTGGATCATAGTCATCTCCCTGTCCAGCCTCCGCATCACAACGGGCTTCTCCTCCAAAATATGCCTAGATATAAAACAATCCATGCATTAAGGACAGAGGGGTAAAAAGAACTGGGATACAGACCAGAGAACATTTTCCCAGATTAGCAGTCTGATAGAAGAAAACTAAATGCAACCCACACTAAAGCCGGGCATACATGGGTCATATTCCGAAATAATTTTCTTTTGAAAATCTTCTCTAAGAATTTTGTTCGAATTTCGCACCATTAGCAGGCCACAGCAACAGTCTATTTTTGAGCGACCATCAAATTTGACTGGTCGAGCATGTTGGAAATTTTTTGAAAAACAAATTTCTAATCAATGATGGGATAATCGAGCGAGAAATGTAATTGTAATGAGCATGAGCTGTGACCTGGAAAGAGAAGAAAATGCTTGCCCATGAAATTTCTTCTCTGTAGCAACATGAGGTGAAATTGAAGGTTTGGGAAGTGAAATTAAAGGCCTACTTGTTTCAATTTCGAAAATCAATGGTGGCACCATCGTATTACAAAATGGACAAAAATTCCAAATTTTTTACGAAAATTCTTTCAGAAATCAACTCATGTATGGCTTGCATTAGAAAAAACTGAGAAATAAAATAAAAAGAGTAAAACAAAAGGGCAGTCAGTGACAAGTAGACTTCCAGCTTGTCATCTCTTTGTGGAATGCTGGACCTGCTGTGACAATGAGCAGATACTGAAATGCACTGAATTCATGTCTGATCTTACAAAGCTTGAAAATCTGTCTGTGGGAGAGATAACAGAGTTGATATACTAAGGGAGTATAAGCTGTTCACTTAGCATAGTTAATGGTTGTAACGAAGGATCACCAGACTGAAATAGATTTGCAAATTCCAGCAAACATGACAGAAGTAAAGGCTGTTAAAATGAAAAGCTCCACTCCTAACGGGAAGTATATTGTAACTTCAGTAAGGACGCATTTTGAGAAATTATAGTGGTTGTCTTAAAGCTGAACTAAAGTCTACAAATAAGCACTTCTCTTATAAACAGTCTGCCATCCGCAAGGTTCTGTGCCAACACAGACATCTTATCCTCCGCTTCTTCTGGGTGTCAGCTCTTCAGCCAGATTTATTGGCTCACATGGGATGGCATAATTCTTGCGCATGCACGGGATTTTATTCTTCCTAGCGCCCGGGTACTGTGCTGAGGAAGCTTCCTAAGCTGTGTGCGCACATCAGTGGATTTTAAGAAGATTGTGAACAAGCAGGTATGGTACGTTTTATTGCAGAAGAGACACAGCATGTCATGTCTGCAATAAAGCCCCTGCCTCTGCATGCAGTTCATTTTGCATCTTTAATTTTGCTTTAAATCGGAACTAGTTTTCTTCTTTAGATCTGCAGTTGCCACGGTGCTGCTGACATGACTAGCCACACTGTAAACATGACACAGCCATATGAGGGACTGAAAGATTGGTTGAGAGCTGACACAAGTACACCGGCAACTGACAGTTATCACAGAAGCACACTTTGAATATAGCATGCACTGCACATGCGCTGGTAGACAAATATTAAATATGGCGCTTTATTTTCATGTTTGCTTTCCTATATTTTAATGATTGCAATGAATATAGTGATTTGTAGACTAACCAATGGTAGAGAAGGATCTGGGAGTTCTGGTAGATCGCAAGCTTAATGGCATGCAATGCCAAGCTGCGGTTTCTAAAGTGAGCAAAATCCTCTCTTGTATTAAAAGAGGAATAGACTGCAGAGAGAGAGATATCATTTTACCCCTGTACAAATCATTAGTAATACCTCATCTGGAATATGCAGTGCAATTCACAAAAAGAACATTGGGGAACTGGAGAAAGTACGGAGAAGGGCAACCAAACTGATAAAAGAGGCATGGAGGAGCTCAGCTATAAGGAAAGATTAGAGGAACTGAATTTATTCTCTCTTGAGAAGAGGAGATTAAGGGGGGATATGATCAACATGTATAAATACATCAGTGGTTCATATACTGAACTCTGTGTAGAGCTATTCACGCTGAGGTCATTACAGAGGACAAAGGGACACTTTTTTACGTCTGGAGGAAAAGAAATTTAATCTCCAAACACAGAAAGGTTTCTTCACAGTAACAGCTGTGAAAATGTGGAATAGACTCTCTCAAGAGTTGGTTCTGGCAAGCTCAGTGGATTGCTTAAAAAAAAAAAAAAAAAAAAAAAAAAAAAAAAAAAAGGCCAGGACTCTATTGGATACACAGAATATAACTGCATACTAACATTTATAGGTAAAGTTGATCCAGGGAATATCTGATTGCCTCTCGGGGGGTCAGGAAGGATTTTTTTTTCACTTGCAGGAGCAAATTGGATCATGCTTTGCTGGGTTTTTTTGCCTTCCTCTGGATCAACTGTGGGTGTAGGATTATAACTTTTTTTTTTGGTTGAACTAGATGAACGTTTGTCTTTTTTTCAGCCAGACTAACTATGTAACCACTAGAGTAGGGGTATCCAAATGTTTCATAAAAAAATTGGCCAGTTTAGGGTATAAAAAACTTGTGGCCAGAGAGGGTAGAAAAACATTGTGGCCAGAGAGGGTAGAAAATGTCCCAGCATCAGTGAGAATAAACATGGCCTCAGGGTTGCTGGTTAGTTGGAGTAGTGCCCTATCAGTGGAATTAGTTCGAGGAATAGTACCCCATCATTGGTATTGGTGGGAGAAAAAGTGCCCTATTGCTGGTGTCAGTGGGAGGAATAGTGCCTCATATCATTAGGAAGAATAGTGCTCCAAGAGTCGAATAAAGGCTGTCAAAGAGCTAAATCAGACCCTCGGGCCACAGTATGGAGACTCCTGCACTTGTGGAAATCATCTGTAGCCAAGAGTATTGAGTTGTCACTTAAACTGTTGAAGTAGTAAATCAGCCATACAAAAAACAGTTTTTAATGAGTTTACCAACTCACACTTGTATTTTGAGAAGAATCAGTAAGGCACAGCTATTTGCAAGGCAGAAAGCATCACCTCCATAGTTAAAATATTGCCCTCACTACGTACTTAAATTTTGTAATCAAACAGGGCTTTAAAAATATTAACAGATACATATATAAAAGATCAGCTTAGAGTGTCTTAAAATGAACCTGTGCTTTGTCAATGCAGGACAAACTGGTTCATGGTTTTCAAAAATCAACTCCACTGTATATGGATCCATAACTTCAGTTTTTACTGGTAGAGTACCAATTTTCACCCATCATACTAAGCTGCTCTACAGACACAGGAAAAAAAGTATGTATATGTGGAATTACCTTTTTGCATTTGTAGCAGACATAGTAAGCATATCTATTCATGGCATAGCTAGCTGGATCATTGTAAAATCGCACTCCTGGCGTCGTGATTGCATCACTTTTGTGTAGCCCTTCATATTCCAACCTCATTAATGCTTTTCTTCTTACATCTTCGTAAAGCTCTTTGATTGGATCCATGAGATCCTTTAATACTGTATGATTGATTTTGTTCTAACAAAAAAAATAAATAAATTGCAATTTATTAATCATTCTGCATAACTCTACAGCATATTTTGCGAATATAAACCAATTACAAAGTACACTGTCAACTCAACAGAAAACGAAGGTTTGGTTACAGGGAAAATAAGGAGATTGTAAAGTAACAGTTTTCTCTAAACCCACAGCAACATTTTCGAACTGACCAATATTAATGTATATTTGCAATCACTTTATGAAGTGACTGCTTAATGCAGGGTCACCACTGCTACTCCATCTACTAAAGCTACTCTATAAAGTGTCCACAGATACAGCAAGATAGCTGGCCCACTACTGCTTAGCTCAGCAGGGAATAATACCAATTAGTATTCCCCTTGATGGCATGTGATGTTCCCAAAGAACGAAAAAGCCAGACTGGGTGACTGTCATGTACTGTCTGTGGGCAGCCTAATTTCCTGCATCCTTCAGCCCCCATTATGTACACAAAGTTCCAAATGCATATATTTATAATAGAACACAACTGCTGATTGGGCATGTTAATCTATACCTGTCTACAAACATTAACTGTACACAGAAAATTCATTTTATAGATATATCCTACTATAACAGGAGTAACATGGGGATATTACTATTCACAGTGTGCGTCTTTTCTTTCCTTCGAGAATTATTTTCTTCAACAACTAACCTTGCAGATTGGGCAGGACATAAATCCAAAAGTGATTCGTGGTCCTAGCCATCGGTTTTCCAGAACCCTTCTACAGCATTGCAAGTGAAACACATGGCTGCAGTCAAGCTAGAGAATGAAATGAAAAAGAAATTACTGTTAGTTTGTTTCTTCAGAATGCAATTTGAAAAAAAAAAAAAAAAAAAAAAAAAAAAAAGAAGAAACCTGAGTTTAAGCACTTCAATACCAGGCTCTCTCACCCGCTTCCTGCCCAGGCCAATTTTCACTTTCAGCACTCTCACACTTTGAATGACAACTGCACGTCATGAAACTCAGTACCCATATGACATTTTTATCATTTTTTTGAGACGGATATTTCTTTTAGTGGCATTTAATTGCCACTGGGTTTTTCACTATTTGCTAAATGAAGAGACAATCGAAAATTGTGAAAAAAAAAGGTTTTAGTTTCTGTTATAAGTAATCTTTCCTTTTTGATGTGTACTGATAAGGCTGTACTGATGGGCACTGATATTCAGTGCCCTGATTATCAGTGTAAACTGTGTACTGACAGTTTTGCCGGCAATTGGCTTTCCGACAGACACAGCGTGAGGAAAAGAATGCCCATAACTGGCAAGTCTGTTTAAATGTGATCAGCTGATTGGACACAGCTGATCACATGGTAAAGGGCTACTGTGATCAGCCCTGTACCTCGATCTGTGATCAGCTAAAGGACACAGCGATCACAGAACGTGCCTAATGTGAGCCCCGAGGGGGCGCAGTCTTTGGAGGACATCTATAGTCACCCTCCCAGCACAAGACAATCGCACTGTAGCTGTCTTTTGGCTATAGAGTGGTCGGCAAGTGGTTAAAGTAGAACTTTAGGCTAAGACATTGGCAGTCAGGCAGGATTTTTAATGCAGAAGAGACATACGTTCTCTTCTGCATTATAGCTACTTACCTGCCTGTACACCCTTGTACAGTGAGCTGCATGCACGCAGCTCACTGTACAAATTCGGCAATGCCAAATCTGACTGAACTCCCACATGTGCGGGAGGGACATCATTTTCGCTCAGCCAATGGCAGCGATTGAAACCTGAAAGCTGCATTGCTGAAGCGAAGGTGAGCATTGTTCCGCTTTAAGCTCTGACAGAAAGAAATCCCCCTCAATCAGTATTTTCAAATAGAAAACAAATGTCAAGAAACTTTACAAACTGGCAAACTATAATAAATGAAACATTGTTCTACAGAATGGGAATGTCTATGAGAATATACTACACATCATACTAGTGTCTGAAATGAACCGATGATTAATACTGATGTTCTGCATTCCACACAAGGAGATGAGATTTGACATTCCGGACACTCAAACATGAACCAGAGCAGATTCATCAGCATGAGTCTGAGCAACCATACCAACACCATAGACTCAGGGAAAAAAAAAAAAAGTAACATTCTTCTATCAGCCACCAGTGATCCTGTCTATAAACACAGCAGGACGATTGCTGAAAGTAAGAAAATGTGACTTCTTTCTCCAAGACTGAACCACAGGTCTTTTTCTTCTGTATAAAATGCTTTGAAACAAACACCACCTAATATTTGACACAACATTGTCTGAATACTGCTGCGAACATTCACATTTCTGCCCAACAAAACGTTTTGTACAAAAAACACTTCTGAACATGAAGGGAGGTCTAAAGTTTTTTTCAATGACCAGCCCTCCGCCAACTCAAATAGCCAACCTGAATAGCAGGAGCTGCAGAAAGCGCCTCTGTAAAGCAGATCATACACATGTCATCTGCATCCTGTTTCAGACTTGTTGCATTCTTGTCACAACCATGTAGGCAAGGCAAACACTGGTCCTCATTCTTCACACCTCCACATGGATGCCCACATGGATGGGTCTTGCTGCAGGCAGTCTTTGCGTACTCCTAGAAATAGCAAATTTGGTATCAGAGCGATCATCTCTAACTATGGAAGATTTGTCTGTATGAGCTTCTGACTCACCTGGCAGTCTGAATCAGAACACACACTGCCAACAGCCGATAATTCTGTCCCATTTCTGGAGCCACAGAAACGACAAGTTTCCGAGCTGCTGCTTGCAGGTTTTCCTATAATGCAAACAGTATTAAGAGCACAGTCACTAGCAATAAGAATAACACTTTTTTACCTCTGGCTTTTATTTTTTTAATGGGTGTCCAACATATTACATCAAATTAACAGACAGAAAAGCAGAATCTTACACAGGGAGTCTGGAAATAGTCAATTGGTAAATTGGTATAACAAGTAGATTGAGGGAGAAAAAAAAAAACAAACAAAAAAAAAAAAAAGTATACAGGCAACTGCTACATATTCTACAATTTACCATCTATATGTAAAACTCACCAGTCTGTTCTCTGAATTCCACCATTGCTTTCATGGTTTTAGAGTCAGCAAGTGCCATCAACCAGAACAGCTTAGTTTCTCCCACATCCCTCATGCAAATCAACTTTGATTGCCTCTTCCTCCTCTTTGAACACCTGTTTGGATGATAATATATAACTGGGGATGCACTAGAGACAGCACACTAAAATACTAGATTTCTTTTTATATCTATATGGTGACCAGTTTTTTGGGATCCAGTTATTACAGGAACAGATCAACTATGTAATTTTGACTGTTAGAACTTTGTGGGGGTGTTTGGTAGCAGGTCTGTGAAACATCATTTATGCATGATCTACTACAAAATCAACCGATGAACACTTTACTAATGGCTTCAATTAATATTAATGTGACTGAAAATCCATAGAGGGCAAAGCTCACTCATGCTGATGTAACCAACCATAAAATGCATGAAGAATAGGGGGTGTCACTGTTTAGAGAATCTAAGATACAAAGTGGATCAAAAAAAAAAAAAAAAAAAAAAAAAAAAAAAAAAAAAAAAAATTCCTCAGGAAAACCAAGTTTTCATTTACAGCAATAACTAAAACACGTTAAGCATTCAGTTTTGGCTGGAAGGGTGCCACTATGCTAATAGGTAACTTTTTTGCCTTTTACCTGTCTTTGATGGGATTTTGTTCGCCGATGGAGATGTAGAAACCTATCACAGTCAGTGCACAAGTTTCCACACGCATTGCACAAAATGATTGCTGCAGTTTCACCATCGTCATGATTATCACACATTGGCTAGAACACAAAACAAATATTTAAGAAACAAACAAAAAAAAAAAATCCTATAACATTAAAACAAGTAGATTTCCTGCCAACAAGAAGGGATCAAAGACATGTAGCAGTATATTTACAATTGAGAATGCTTTTATTATCCTTTAAAGTATACGCCAAAAAACATCAGTTCAATGGGTGACCCTTTGCGATAACTGAAGTCTATGCTGGGAAGCACCTCAATTTTCCAGTGAATGTATGCCTTTTTTCAGCCAATCTACAACCAGAACATTAGAGAATTGAAGCATTGTAGGTCACTTTGTTTCAGCATGGCCATCTGCTAACCTCAGGCCACTTTTGGGGATGTACATTAGATACAGATATACTTTATGGAGGTGGGCAGTTGGGCTTATTTCTTATAAAAAAATTCAGTCATCCTTTCAGGTTACATTCACATTAGTCATGAATTTCATAATTAACACAATTTACATTGATTCTTATGGAAAATGCACAAAAGATTAAGAAAGGATTTAAATGAAAAAAAAAAAAAAAAAAAAAAACCCCAAATATTTTCCTGAAAAAGCATAGCAGACATTTGTTTTTACTACAGGTAACGTGGCAGGGTACAATGGTAGGTAGAATGAATAAGACTGATCTGTAAACTCATCACAGTAGGTCTACTTAAGACAAAATAATTTTTAAAACACAAAAACATTACCATTTGTTTTTGCTGCCCATCCTTCCCCATCCACCTTCCAGAAGACAACCGGTCCACATGGTCTTGATCAAGCACACACAATGATGCAACAGCCAGCCAGAGCTAAAAAACAGTTAAAATTACTGACAATGTATAACATGGTAAAGCTTTAAAATGTATGATCTATAGAGGAGGAAAGAAAAGTGGCTGTAAATAGTTTGACATATATGTAGCCAAATTCGATAGGGCAGCAACACTTACTGGTCTGTCCATATAAAAGTTTTTTTTTTCTTGACATTCATATTAAATCACACTCTTCTTTTTAATTTTCTGTTAGTCAGTGCCATAGTTAAAAATGACTGCATTTTTTTTATTTTTTTATTTGCATAAGTAATTTCAATCCAGTAAAAAGTAGGTTGCCTTGTATATTTCCAATTTGTTCTGACCAGTGTTTTTCAGATCTTACATTCACCTGATTTCTTCCACTTTGTATATCCATAACTGTATGGAGGGCAGGACAGGGTTTTCCTATTGAGTGGGATACAGGACTTTTTGCATTTAGTGGGTGACCCAAGATGGATTTTCTGTATGCTTTCACTAGGATGGAAAAGCAATACACATGCCCCTGAGCCGAGAAAGAAGGCTGGGCCATTAGGGATCCCATGGTTGGCACACTTCTGGGAAAGTCCCCTGACCTGAGACCAGAAGGAAATCAGAGCTGGCCAGGACCAAAAGATGTGTAATAATGAGCCTGTTTCCACATCTCCGACAAATGCTGGAAATCTTCAGGTAATATCTGGTGTTTTGTACAATCTATATAGAATTTTGGAACTGGAATTCTAGAGTCTAGTATTAATGAAAGAGTTTAAAGAGATAGGGTATCTTATGAGTTTGAGTGGGTGTGAGCTCCACACGTCTCTTTCCCACTCTGAGGAACATTGCTGTGAAAATTTCTTGAGGCCGAGACAAGACAGCATAGAGTAATCGGAAAGAGTATTGAAGGGGTCCCCAATTATTGCAAACGGATTGCAAGTGGGAGACCTTTCTGGTGAAGGCAATGGTAGGGATGTCAGATATTTTCAAAGTTGTAAGGCTTTCTAAAGGGTAATTCAGAGCCCAAGTTTGCCGCATGGTAGGGATGTCAGCTATCAAGGAAGGGACTGAAGATCAAAATCCAGTAGTAAGGAAGTGTAAGGCTTGAAAATGTATTTTCTTTGAGGGACCAGGATGGCCATCTTAGCTAACTAAAAGGGAAGGCCAGGTTACTCAAGATGGCAAAAGGGGCAAAGAAGATTAGGGATAAGTTTTATTTCTGAAATGTCAGAACACAGTGTTGTAAGGACTGATTGTTCAGTGTAATTTCAGGGCAGCTGGTGCTTGTGAAGGGCACCAAGTGAGGCGACGTAAGGGGAACAGAGACAAGGCTTGCTCAAAAGTTAACCATTGCTTGAGGTTATCATGCCTACATCTATCAAATCGCCTAACTGCACCTTTTTCTAAATGCAAAAAGGACTTTGAATATATGAAACGCTATTCCAGCACAATGGAAAAGTTCACACAGGGCTGCTGGTCAGGCCAAATTTGAAATGTGGCCAGATTGAATTGCTAGCAATGCCAGGAAGAAAGCAGTGTGTATAGAGTCAATCTAGGGCTGGCAAAGCACTAAGACAAAAGCAGTAAAATGGAGGACAAAAACATGTTTAAAGTGCACCTGTGTCCAGACTATGGACAGTAAATTATTTGTACATGTCTAACAAGCAGTAAAATAATATTTATATACTCCCTGTAAAATCCTTTGGTGTATTAGTATGACTTCTGTGTCCCTTATTGGACTTCCCAAGTGTTTCTCAACCCTTTTTCAGTCAAGGCACCCTTTAAAATTGACAATCCCGATGCACCCTTTAAAATTATGGACTTGAGGCACCCCATTGTAAAATGTGAAAAACGATTCTAATAGTTTTATATAACGCAACAACATCCACACATGTAGGACACCCAACATTAGAGGTGATTTATTCTTTCAAAGCAAATACACTTTTGCACACTGCTACTGAGTAGTATTCCGGAGAGGGGCAGAGGAGGGTCAAACTAGGATGCAGTGCAAGCAGCTGACATCCTCCTTATCAACTGACGATGTCATTGGTTGTCAGGACGCCGGCTGGTAGAAGGTCATAATGGTGCACAATGAAAACCTGTGAATTTGTGTGTAACTAAAAGGCAGGCTTGTATACAAAGTTTTGGGCATTTTTTATACATTTTGCAAAGGCACCCCTGAAGAAACCCCAAGGCACCCTGGTTGAGAAAGGCTGCTATACACTCCCTAGCTGGTCCATTACAGGACACAGGAAGTCATACTGCTGGGATGTGCAAAAGTAGTCCACCTGAGGGCTGGAGGGAAACAGAAACAACTGCAATCAGGGTTAACAAAAACAGAAATGGGAATTGCTGAAAAAGTCTGCATCTGACACTGGATGAGGTCAAACCTCCTTGACTTATAGGAAAACCTGTCTACATGACAAGAGAAAGGACAGAGAATCAACCTGATGTCCAAGAAAAAAAAAAAAAAAAAAAAGTCACAAACCAGAGAGGAAAGACAAAAAAGGATCACTGCACCATAGACTAAGCAAGAAGCTGGGCAACCTACACCCACCACAAGAAAGACAAAACTAACATAGCTAACAACGAAAAGGATCACATCCCAAGTAGGAACAGGTACGAGACCAGAACAGCTGGTCTAAGTAGGAAGGTCCTAAGCCTTTATTTCCTGGCCCTATAAGTCAAGAAAAGAACTCCGTATCTCAGGAGATTGTCAGAGCAGACAACCTCCTCGCTAAAGCGAGACTTACCAGGTAGGAACGCTCAAGTTGACAATAACCTGCATGTGAAAATGACTGAGTCCACCAAAGAAACCCAAGATACAATCCCATGAAGTCAGTGTGACTGAAGGGGTAAGGTAAGAACCCAACCATCAACTGGTAAATTGATTACAACCCTGACGAAGCTGAGAATGAAGTTAGAAATTCTCCCACCATTACACAAGAGACCACTGTGGTAAGCCTTAAAAGGGATCCTGCTGGAAAAAACAATCCTCTATATCCAGAAAGTCCCAAAAATTAAATGCCCCCGACTCTCCAGACCCAGTGAAGAATTAACATCAGTGGAACAAGGTACAAAAGTTTGATCAGAACAGCAAAGAGCATTCAAAACCGAAAAGCATCAGAATGGCCTTCCTTGTGTATCTGTAAATCAGCCAAGAGAAGAGGGGTCTAACCCCAAGTGAACAGGTCTCACAAAGTCCTTAAGCTTGTGTCAAACACAAGACCAGGGGCCAAATCCAGCCCGCCCGGCCATTTCATATGGCTCTTGCACCCAGGGCTTTTTTTTTAGCCAGAACGTAGTGGAGGGGTGCAGAGATCAAAGCTGAGACGGAGGGATAAAAGGTAGACAGAGTTCATTGAGGCAATGCCAACTGCTAGGACCCATGGTGATCTCTTCACTGGAGGATGACTCAGTATCCAAGAAAGTGGAAGACATGAGAATGCACTAGGGTAGGCACTGGAGCCAACACCCTGAGGAGTACTAGCTGTGCAGTGGTGACACAAAGGATTCAAAGTCTTGTCCGATTGCAGAACAAACAGTGCTGAATCCAGTTGGCAAGTCATGGGTCCCTCAGACAAGGGATGATGGTACCAATAGGTCCCAGGTACCTATAGTCCTACATTCCCTATGGGATGAAAATTGCTCTGAGGGAGAGGGTGATGGCCAGAGTTGGAACAGCTACTAAAGCTGAGCGGATACAAAAGATCACCAGGGTTGGGGAGAACCCAAGGTGTTAAGGAAAGGTCTGTGCAGTAGTACAGGTGGGTAGAGGGTGAACAAATCGATAGAGCGCCAAAAGGCAAGGGATAATAAGCCTAAAGAGGCACTCTTCGCACCTGCATGCCTGAAGGGCAAGCTGCCAAAGGACAAGCAAGGATTAGCAACCTATCCCAAAAGCTGAAGACTTCTCTGAAGGCTTAGTGGGTTTCCTGCTTCTGGCCTTACATGGAGACTGAACTAACTGGATGGACTTTTGTCTTTTTTTAGCCAGACTAACTATAACTAGGCGTAATCTAGCCATAGAACAAAATTCATCCTGTTTAGCAGGAACTGGCTGAATTTCGATCCATGTATGGGCAATGTTGTTGTACAAAAGTCAATCTATTGATTTATTCCTGTACAACCACCTAGTCGGATTTTTGCTGCTTAATCAGCGCTGCAGACTATCACAGTGAGGAAGATTCAATCTTCCATCTTTATATGTGGATGAGGGAATCAAGGCAGGTTTTTTTTTTTCCCTCAATCCGTTGGTTAAAGAAAAAAAAAAAAAAAACTCCTATGGGCTGCCTTGAAGGTTTTGGGTGTGTCTACTCAAAGAATAGGTGAAGGAAAGACTGGGATCAGCCAACCTTAATTTGGACAACTTACACTGAGGAAGGTGAACACTATCTTTTGAGCTCTACCCTTGACATCATCAAGTATATCACTTGAGATCAGAGTCAACATCCCTGTAATTGTGGACAGCGTAAGCTGGAGTCACCCACTGCAACAAGAATGTCCCCTCTGTCTCTAGAAACAGACATGCTATAACCACATGGTGGTGATGCAACTATGCTCAGGGTATGAAGAAAGGGATCTGGTACACAAAACACCCAGACAATTACATGATGTTGGTCTGAAGATCAACTTTGAACAAGGTAACTGTCAATGAGCTGGTGATCGAAGATCCACTTGGCTATTCTGCACAGTAGGAGAAGCAGTGGGGCAATGCTTTCTCTATGCTGAACATGGGAGAAAGTGTGGAGTGTGCATGCGACATGCTACCCAAAGCATACCAGCACCAATAGGTCCCACAGAATTAACCCCTTCCCTGGTAAAACTGGTGGAATGCAGGAAATAAAAGGCTCCATATGGCCTACTCATGGAATGAGTCTTGAGAAAAAGACAGCAGCAGCAGCGCTGGACCTGAAAAGTACTCTAGGCTACTTCCTGATCCCCTTCTGGTAAGGGGTTAGCTGCAATGTGTATCCCAGTATCCAAAAGGTCATTTCCCAGCTAGCCCCAAAATGTACAATCCAGTGGGGTCTGGGTATGGCACAAAGTTAGGCTGAGGAAATATCAATCTGGATCATTGCCATGTAAAGAGTAGCGCAAGCTGCGATGTAGTGAAGAAAAAAAAAAAATTAAAGAAAAAAAAAAAAACAAACAAACTAGCAAATGGTTAAAATTTTCCAAGCAGAGCTGAAGAAAAGATGACCATTTTCCTAGGATATTGGCAAAAACTTGACATGCTGGGTAGTTGAGTTATCCAGAGCACTTTTTTTGTTTTGCAGCCCACCAAGATCTGTTCTCGTAGAAAAAAATGCCTGTGTTTTGAATTTTGAAAATTCATTTCTTCACAATGCTTAAAACTACAGAGGTGCACAAAAGGTATGTTTTTTACTGCTTGTCCAGACTTTTTATAAGTACTTTATTGTGCATAATCTGTGCACAGGTTCACTTTAATGTTTAAAACCAAAGCTAAACACAGAACCTTACCCTAGTAGTGGCAATACATCGTACGGGAGAACGATACTCCTCCTCCATTTTTGTCAGTGCAATGATTGTCTCTGCAATTGCATTCTTAGTGACACGAGACCATGCCTCTGAGAGATGACCCTATGAATACATCAAAGAACATTATTTTTTTTTATCTCAGGCTCCTAAAAAAGTATCATGAACAAAATAATACCATATAAACACCATTAAAATTAGTAAAATGGTTTGCTTTGGACACTTTGTTGAAAAAAAAAAAAAAAAAATAGCCAGACAATAAGTGATCATAAAACACAAAATAGAGAAAGTGAGCGCTAAAAGTCCAAAAGCTGCTGAAACACCAAAGAATACCAAAATAATCTCCAAAGCATCAATATAAAATAAGGTGCAGCGCTAAGATTCCAACTATCAAGAGCTCTGACAAAGAAGGGACCCCCCTTCGAAACTTGTCAGCGTCATTCTGAGAATTTCTCCTTCAGATGGGATTCGCATGTGTCTCCTTATCGTAGGATGCACTTTTGGATTTTATATGCCTGTTTTATTACTACTCTTAGCCACATGAAAGGAGAGATAGAGCCATTTTGACAGCGGAGTGAGCAGTGAGGGGAATATCTGACCAGACCATATCCATCCACAAAGGAGCCTTCAGTTCATCCACTGAGAGTACTGTCTCTAAATGCGCTTATTGATTGCGCATCTGGTGAGTGTGCAGACTTTATAATATCGGTCACCTCACTATTACACTGGATGGAACACCTATCATTGAAGATTAATTGATCTTCTTACACCTATATCTGGACAGTAGCACTATTGGTCATCATACAGTGAGAGTTCACGATATCACCGAGTCACTTTATTTTGAAGGATTCACAAGTCACTTTATTTACATATTTATGTGATCATCATTTGTCACAAGTCACTTTATTTACATATTTATGTGATTATCGATATATTTTATGTGCAGAGTTTTCATATTGATAGATGGAATTTTAGCGCTGCACCTTATTTTATATTAAGTGATCATAGAATGAAACAAGGAAAAGAACAGTTAATAAAGAAAAAGTATTAAGTTTGGTAATACGTACAGCTGCCATATCTTTAATCAATTTAATGATAATCTCTGCAATCTGAGTTGGAGTTGAGCCTTTCATCCACCAGTGACTCTCACCTCTCCTAAGGTAACTGATTAAAAGAAACAAGATACTTTTGGTTACAGGAGAAGCAGTTTGACGTGCATGCACCACTTTTACCATTAATGAAACTCGAATATTTGCTCAATGTTAGTAAAATAAGAACATCGGTGTACACTTTTTTTTTATGTTTGGATTACTATGCACAACAGTTCCACTTGTCTCCAGGTTTTAATCCTTCAGCTTTATACATGCTTAAACAGCAAGAATGTAAATAGAAACAAAAAATACAAAAACCTATCATTGAATTTAATATTGAGGGACACAAGAATTAAGAAAGACAGTGAACCAATTGTTGGAATTAGACCAATCTGAAAGACTAACCAATTAGGCAAAAGTGGCATATTCTGTGCTACGGTATAAAAACAGGCAGTAGATACCTAGAATTAAAGATCATTGGCAAAGTAACCGTTGTTACGCCTTTCCCAGCACTCATCCCTGCAGTGCCAGTGATTGGTGTTCCCTTGGCCTTCAGCTGGACTGTGAGAGCCTTAGCGATGCATCCCAGGAACATATCCAAAATGCCAAGCTTGTTCCAGTCTGCTTTCTCTGTCGAGTGAATTATGTCACTGATGTCTGCTGGAGGCAGCGACTTGACACCAATGATGCTAGCAAGGCGTGTTGGTGTGACTTCAGGCAGAACACGACGCAGCAAAGAGGTCACCTGTAAAGAAGCAAAAAAAAAAATTATGCTATTTCTGCATTTTAATAGGAAACAGTCTAAAGCAGGCATCACTAAATAGTGGACCGGGGTCCGGATGCGGACCGAGTCACTGTCCCATCTAGACCCATACGGTCCCAACATTTTGGAGCCTTTTCTTCCCCCAGTCTCGCAGTTATCCTCACAGAGCTGACAGTGGGAGGCAGGACAGTTCTGGATGAAGGGCAGGAGTTGCCCAAACTTAAGCAGGCGCTTGGTTGCTAGGATGAAGGGCAGTCCTAGCAATCACTGTCTGTTAATCACTGTCTGTGTAAGGTAGGACAGTGGAGGGTGAAGTTAAAGGGGCTAAGGACATTCGTGTGAACAGGGGCCGAGGACTGAATGTGGGGGGACTTAGAAACAGCAATGTTGGTGGGGAGCGGAGGACATTTAGATTTAGGGGGGGGGGGGCTGAGGACAGCAACACGGGGGGGGGGGGGGGGCTGAGGACAGCAACACGGGGGGGGGGGGCTGAGGACAGCAACACGGGGGGGGGGGGGGGCTGAGGACAGCAACACGGGGGGGGGGCTGAGGACAGCAACACGGGGGGGGGGGCTGAGGACAGCAACACGGGGGGGGGGGCTGAGGACAGCACAGCAACACGGGGGGGGGGGGGGGGGCGGGCTGAGGACAGCAACACGGGGGGGGGGGGGGCTGAGGACAGCAACACGGGGGGGGGGGGGGGCTGAGGACAGCAAACACGGGGGGGGGGGGGCTGAGGACAGCAACACGGGGGGGGGGGCTGAGGACAGCAACACGGGGGGGGGGGGGGGGGGGCGGGCTGAGGGCAGCAACACGGGGGGGGGGGGCTGAGGACAGCAAGGGGGGGGGGGCGGGCTGAGGACAGCAGCAAGGGGGGGGGGCGGGCTGAGGACAGCAACACGGGGGGGGGGGGGGCGGGCTGAGGACAGCAACACGGGGGGGCGGGCTGCTGAGGACAGCAACACGGGGGGGGCGGGCTGAGGACAGCAACACGGGGGGGGGCGGGCTGAGGACAGCAACACGGGGGGGGGGGGCGGGCTGAGGACAGCAACACGGGGGGGGGGGGAGGCTGAGGACAGCAACACGGGGGGGGGGGAGGCTGAGGACAGCAACACGGGGGGGGGAGGCTGAGGACAGCAACACGGGGGGGGGGGGGGGAGGCTGAGGACAGCAACACGGGGGGGGGGGGGGGCCTGAGGACAGCAACACGGGGGGGGGGGGGGCCTGAGGACAGCAACACGGGGGGGGGGCCTGAGGACAGCAACACGGGGGGGGGGGCCTGAGGACAGCAACACGGGGGGGGGGGGGGGGGGGGGGGGGCCTGAGGACAGCAACACGGGGGGGGGGGGGCCTGAGGACAGCAACACGGGGGGGGGGGGGGGCCTGAGGACAGCAAACACGGGGGGGGGGGGGGGGCTGAGGACAGCAACACACGGGGGGGGGGGGCCTGAGGACAGCAACACGGGGGGGGGGGGGGGGGGGGGGGAATGCCTGAGGACAGTAATGCGGGGAGATGTAAAAAGTGGAAGAGTACTCTGCAGTGAAGGAGAGAGTACTGTTGGATGGGGGGGGGGGGGGGGTTGATGTCAAGGAAGTGTGGTAACACTACTGTGAAAGGGGTGAAGGGGGAGCTGAGGACACTCAACAAAAGGGGATCTCGCAATGAATGAGGAGGGGACCGTGATGTGCAGTGGGGATTGAGGACACTGATGTAAGAACAGGCTCAGATCTGTACATGTGCATTTGGCGCACACATCGTGAGTAGGTCAGCCCATTCATTTTAATAGGCTGCACTACCCACAAGAAACACGAAGTCCCTGACCCTGTTTTTTTTTTTTTTTTTAAATCGCAAAGTAGCAACATGATGTTTGGCACACACGAAAATATACCGCAGGTTCCTACATGAGATTCGGACCTCTGATGCATGAAAATTTTCCTTCCTGGACCTCAGTGAATTTTATTTCAGAACCCTTGGTCTAAGGTGTGCCTGTTCGCACATAATGATACAGACAGCATATCAACAAAAACACTAAACAATCAAGACAGGTCTATGTGAATATTCTAAATGTCAATAATAATGTAATATCCCCTTAAGGATGAAGGTTCACACAAACTTTAATGTACTTGTATGGTTCTCTTTGTATTGCTTCCTTTGTTGAAATCCCTGGCATTCTTGCCACATTTGACCTCCAAAAAGGAGTGCATAGCAGGTAGCTATAGATCACTTCCTTATCAGGCCAATTCTGGCACTTCTCTCCACACCCTCTATTGGTAATACAGTGATGAGCACTGTATTTAGTGGTCATCAAGGGGTTTCCCATTCATAAACCGCTTGCTTATAGTTATCTGTAATTGGCTGCAGCTAATCACATGTTACAGGTAACAATCATAGCAATCACGATATTAGGATACTAGTAACCATGATCTGCAGTGTCCAGCAGACAGTGGTCACAGGAGGGGTGGGCTGCGTGCTCCTAGCTCAAAGCAGACAAACAAACAGACACTCTCTGAGCCACCACGTGCTGCCCCACTGAAGTAAATGCACTGTAACGGGGCGGAAAGTGGTTAACAGAGAAAAAGTGCATTATCTGCAGGCAATTTGCTATAACACCCTCACTGACTATATGTCCTAATAACATGAACATTTCATTGAGTGCAGTGAATCCCTAAACATTCACTCTAATGGTAGTTCCCGACAATTTTGAGAAAAAAAAAAACAAAACATTGACTTTTTGCTATTAAACATGTCCAGAAAAAAATGTATTCTGCTACGTCTTGCTAAAAGAAAAAAAATAAAATCCCAATACGTGTAAATTAAATTAATTGGTTTACGTGAAAGTTATAGCATTTACAATGGCAGTACATATACACAAATTTTTTTTTTTTTTTTTTTTTTATACTAGTAATTGCGGCGATCAGCGATTTGTGGCAGGACTGCAGCGGGCATTCTGACACTGGGGGGGAACTGACTTGGTATCAGTGACATCCCCAGTGACACCAATACAGTAATCAATGCTTTAAAAACAAAAAAAAAGGAAAGACTGTACTAATGGCACTGGGCAGGAAGGGGTTAACATGAGGGGCAATCAAGGGTGTGCTGGGAGTCTTTTACTGGGGGCAGTATGTCGGTGCTTCACTGTAAGCAGGGCTGTGCTTGGCCATCCAGAGCAGTGTGCCCGAGCCGACAGGAAGGACTGTTGGTAAACAAAGCAGCCCTCCTCCCGTCGGAGATCCTTGGTAAGCACCTGGTGATTGGCAGCCGTGGCTGCAAATTGTGTCACGGGTAGGGGGGCATGCACGCCCCACCCAGAAAGACAAAATCATGTATATATACACACGTGATGCAGTCGGGAAGAGGTTAAAAGGAGGCTGGTGTCTTTAACCACCTCCCGTGTGCCATATAGTAATATGACGGGCGCAAGGTGGTTCTCTCGTTCTGGGAGGATGTCATATGACATTCTCACTGCGCATGCGCGGCTCAAGGTCATGCGATCAGCTGTGTCCAATCACAGCTGATAACATGTAAACAGGGAAATGCCAGTTATTGGCATTTCTCTCCTCTCGAGCTGTCACGCTGACAGCTCAAGAGGAGAGGAGAGCTAGTAATCTGCTTTCCGCAGAGGGAACATGTACACTGATCATCAGGGCACTGATGATCAGTGTAGCCCCAGCAGTGCCACCTGTCAGTATCCATCAGTGCCACATATCGGTTGCCCACGTGTCAGTGCCACGTATCAGCGCCGCCCACCAGTGCCACGTATCAGCGCTGCCCACCAGCGCCACGTATCAGCGCCGCCCACCAGTGCCACGTATCAGCGCCGCCCCATTAGCGCACATCAGTGCAGCCTCATTAGGCACACCAGTGGTTTTTGGTTTCTTTAAGAAAAAATTAAAAACCCAGAGGTGATTATAGCACCAAAATAAAGTTCTGTCACAAAAAAAAAATGATAAAAAATTTCATATGGATACAGTGTTGTTTGACTGCGCAATTGTCATTCAAAGTGTGACAGCGCTGAAAGCTGGAAATTGGACTGGGCAGGAAGGGGGTATAAGTGCCCTGTAGGCTAGCGGTTAAAACAGAGCGTGGGTCCACTGTTCCAAAAACATGGAGTGAGAGGTAGGACTGTTTTTAAAACCCATCTACAGAAAAAGATGGTAAATATCTTTGATATTCACAAATATTTGTGAACTGGCGTAATCGGGTCTAATATGCAAGTTTCCCCAATCAGGTATGATTATATTGTGAGCAAGCAGAAACCTGTATGCAAAAGGAAAATTGAAGCTGATGCACTCACCTGCCTCTGTACTCTGGGAGAAGCTGTGTGCAGTAGGTGGAAAAGATCTTGCAGTAAAGTCAACTGCTGAGCTAAATACTGCCTTCCAACATTAGACCCACTCAGAGCAAGTACCATAGACAGCAGTTCAAAACAATATGCATCAGAAGATGCATCCTCGTCATTTGGCTGTGAGTTTGCATTTTCTTTGCTGGAAATGGCATGTTCCCACTCTTCTCGGACTCGCGTAGCCTCCATTCTGATTGCTTGTACTATGTGAGCACAAACCTGCAAGTCATAAGACACAATCATCAGGAGAAAAGAAAATTAAAGCATCTCTCAAAGTGTAAATGCAGTTTAATGTAACATTTATACACACTATATATAATACTGACAAGGCAACATATATCAAAAAATAAGGTATATCTAAACCCAAAATCTATTTTTAAGTATGTTTGGCATAATACCTCACTTTTTTTATTTAAAAAAAATAAATAAAAATTGTTGCAACTTTACCTAGATGGAGTTCCTGCTAAGAAAAACACCTCCTGTTGTAGGCTGAAAACCCTGAACCACTGCCTAACAATTAGCAGTAGCATTGTAAGCTTGCCCTGCAAGTGTCTTCAGTCAGTTGTTAGGCGGGCTATCAGGTCAGTGCACAACTCATGCAGACCTGTATGGTAGGTCAATGGCAATATTGAAATGACCCACACACAAAAGCAGACACTCTAGAGAATTGTGTCACACAATATTTACCCAAAGGTTTATGGAATGCAAAATATTAGTAAAAATACACAAAGTAATGGGTGCATAAACAGAACATATTACCCAATTTTTGGTAAAGCAGAAATGATAACATTGCACCGAGTAAACAGATACTCATGTCGAGCCTATAATTGTGTGCACCCCTAAAACAGTTACAAACTTTGGTACCCTATATTATCCATAGGTGATGCTTTAAAAACCTCTACAGGGGATCATGTTAGAGCGATCAATGAATAATGGGTCTAGAACTATTACTCTCACTGATGTATGTGGGGCTGTAAAATTTTGGGGGCGATGTTAAGTGCTTAAGTGCAGCTTTAGTTTTTTTTTTTTTTTTTTTTTTTTTTTTTTTACATTACACTAATTATTTTTAGGGAACGTTTTTCCTCCACATGACATAGGGGACAATAAGTCCAAGTCATGCACTCTTTTTGGTGACAGGTTCTTTTCAATTCATCTGATTGTGTCTTAGACCCTTGATATCTCATTAAAGTCCTAGCGACACATTTCTTGCGGTATGGCCTTTTTAAATGGCCTGTACCAGATTAAAAAATTACTACCCGTTTAGTTAGCTCTACTGACACATTCAACAGATTCAGGCAGTTCTTAGTAAGTGGAGCTATTATTGCACCAAATTAATAGGGAAAAAAAGCCCTACTTCAGTTTCGTTGTCTATTTAAAAAAAAACTTACCTAGGAGGATGCAGCATCAGTCCCCCGCCAGCTCTAAAAGGTGAGAGCTCAGCAATCACATGATTGCCGAGTTCTCAGAGCAGAAAGCGGGGCTGTCAGTCACCGTTGTGGAGAGGGGGAGGGAGTGGCTAGCTCCAGCTCTTTGTTGAGAGGCTGAGCCAGGTGCTACTCCAAACTCTGGGGTGGATCCTGACTCTGAAGTCGAGATCTTCCCCCAGCCTGGACCAGCTGAGCAACGTCAGCCGACAGACTTCAGTCTGCTGTCAGCTGAAAATGGGTCACAAGAGTGCAGAACGAATCGCACTCCTGTGATTCACACGAGAAGTACAGCCAAGAAAGCTTTGGCTGTACTTTTCTTTTAAGAGAAACAAGTTGGTGTACATAAACAGGGAGAGTACCTGTCTCTGTACACAGTGTAGCAGGGGGCATATTTGCTGCCACTAAACCCTCCCCTCCTTACCCGTCACTGGTTAAGAGTGTCAGCTTCACAGTTGGAGCCTCTAGTAACTAGTGATGCCGATAGCAGGTGGAACCGCAAGGGGAAGCTAAGACACTCATTTCCCATCCGGTCTACTCTCTCACTGATTAACAGCAGCTAGTGGGTGGATTCTATAGCCAAAAGTAGGCTGTCCTGATGAGGAACTAGTGTCTGTGGATTCCCATCAGGCTCTGCCTGCCTAGCTTTAAAACCCTCAGCTTCTGCACTGTGTGTGCCAGCTGCAGTTGTAGAGGAAGTGCAGCTTCCCTGAGGGAGTAGTGCCCCGAAGGACACTGTTCCTGTGCATACGGTATAAGCCCCAAATTTATATACTCGTTTACAAGTACATGAACTTGTCAGCCGCACCGCCATTTGTTGTAAGGAGGCACATCGGAATTCTAAAGAGTGTCCTAGACACTGAGCTCCCTTCAATATCTCTGGAGTTAGAGCCATAGTCATGTAAGCACAACAAAATAAACCATACAATATTACATTTTATAAAAAAAACTACTGTATAACTGATTATATAATTTAACTGAAAATATAATATAAATGCTGTATCACAGTGGCATGATGACCTACCTGTTTTTGCAAGTTAGTGAGTTTACTCCTGCTAAATATGATGCCAACCATGTGTTCCTTGAGGTCTGCATCAGAGGTTGCCTGCAATAAAACACAAAACAAAAAAACATTGAGGCACTAAACACACTGTAAAATCTCCAACCTAAAAAAATTTACGACAATAGAAAGAGCTGTTTAAATTGATGTCCTGGGATGGAATATACCCTATCCAGCAAGAACAAAATTTGAGCAAATAACTACCTAGTGGGGGAAGCCCCGTGGAAACCAATATATGCACCACTTATCAGAAGAGGGCTAAAATTAGCTTTATTTCTGCAGGCAATCTGCATGATTTTGAGCAGCTTACTCCAATTAAGTTGAGCGTTTTCAGGCATTTTTCCCCAAGTTTTTTTCCAGGCGTTGAGTGTTTTGTTTTTTTTTTTTAGCAGATTTGCAAAAATTATAGTTTTTTTTTTCTGTGGCCAATACAAACCTGCGTAGATGTGTCCCAGGTACATACAACAGAGAAACCAGAATAAAGCACATGGCTGCTGCACGTCTGTGCCTTTCTCCTTGATCTGGGAAGCAGTGTAGCTGTTGCACTGGGCCAGAAAGTTTCTTCTCCATTTCCTCCCAGGCTATGGTGGTTTTTGCCTGGATCCTAAAAGTGGGAATCCTGGGATCATAGATGCAGGGGTGGCAACAAATGAGAGCAACGAATGTCTCAGCTTCCAGAAGCAGACTCATTTTGATCACAAGATGTGCGTTTCTAAAAGGTGTGGAGTGATACTAGAAAAGGGGAGGGGAGCTGCTGTTTGAACTGAAAATGCTTTGAAAAACAAATTTTTTGAATGGAAAAAACACATGAACAGCAAGTCTATGAGGACAAAAGCCCTCAAATCTGCATGTACATTTCTGAGCACCAGGAGTTTTGTTACAGGTGACAAAACGCTCAAATGTGAACACAGGCCATTGAAATGGAAGACATTTTCCTTGTTGTGTGTTTTTGAACATCGAACTTTGAGCTGAAAAAAACTCAAGTGTGAATGGGGCCTAGAGACACAAGCCATATACAGCATATACCGCCAATAATGCTTTCATGTTTTTAGAGTGCATAGGATGGCTTTTGAATCTTGAAAAAATAAAAAAACAAACAAACATGGGGATGGGAGTGATCAGGAATTTTTAATTTTAGAGAGCAGGGAAGTCCAAAAAATACAGCAATAATTGTAGTGTATACTATTAGTTAATGGTTCAATTCAGGAAATAATGTGTATAAATATATAAATATATTAGATGTGTGCCTCTAATAAAGCAGAATAGAAATGAGGCCTGTTCTAAAATGTCGATATTTTAGTGCCACGCTCCACAAGACTAAGCTGAGATAGACTTGTTCATATCTTAAGACCACACAATGTTTCAGTTTACCTTTTCCTCGCCCTCAGGTGAGGATAGCAGAGCTTTCTCCTCTTGTTCCGGTGTTGGTTCTGCATCACCAGAGATCAACTTGCCAAATACCTGTGAAACAAAAAGGGAATTTTCTTATTTAGTCACTATAATGCATGCAAAATGACAGAATTGCATACATGTACATTATAAATGCAGTTCAGTATCAATATTACACATACCTACATGCATTAGACATGGAAATTTACAAAAGCTGTCATGATGTGAATAAGATCACAATGTGACACAGCTAAAGAATATTCAGTTATACAACACATTTAATTAAACTTACAGCACTTTTTACACACAACCTGTGTTTTTAGGGGAGCAACTGACATTACATGTTCTGTAAAGCTCACTAAGCACATGGAGATGGGAATAAGTAGATCTGTGAAGGTTCTCATTTAATCAGGTCCACGGTGACGAAACGCATTGGCCAGAGCTTAGCGGTGACATGCTAGGCTATTCTTAGTGCAATGTGAGTACCTCTTTTTTTTTTTTAACAATAAAACAGTGTTCCCATGCTACACTATGGAGTTCCTCTCATCTCCTTTTTGATGAGTGTGATTTGTTCTGATTTTGAGGAATTTTCAGAGCGAGAGAGCTGTATTTGAGCAGTCAGTGAAACTAGTCTGATGCTTTGAGGTCTATATGTCTGGTAAGCAGTGTGTTTATGTGAAGGTGGCAGAGCACTGAAGTATCTTGTACTGAAGACAATGCTCTGCTGTTTATGATTTGTTCATGCATTTTATGGACTCTTTGGTGTTCACTATAGTTATCTTTATTTATAATTTTCCAATATCACTTGCGAAGTATTTACCACTTATTATTTGTCACAATAAGGTCCCGAACCAACATTCACACATACAAATACCAGGGCCAATTTAGACAAGAGCTGATTAACCTACCAACATGCCTTTGGATTGTGGGAGAAAACTGGCGTACCCAGAGGAAACCCACGCAGGCACAGGGAGAACATACAAACTTCAGGCAGGGGAGTATTAAAACATCTTCAACATTACAAAGCAAACCCAGTTGAATGTCACCAACTACTGATAGAAGGTAAAAAGTACATTTTTTTACTGAAAAGAATAAAATATTAAAAATTTTATTTTTTCTATTCCAGTGAACACTGGTGTTTGTACTGGGTTTAGTTTTGTTCTGCTTTTTAGAAACTGCTGCTAGCATGTTCCCAGGCAATCAACAGATGTCACTCCATAAAAACAAGGTTAGTATGATTTGCTGCTGTCACATACCTGTGAAGTAATCAGTCTGAACACACGCAGTGTCTCAGATTCACAGTTCCTTTGCTGTGCTACACTAGCTGAAATTTGTCCAGCTATTTTTATGGACTCGCCATCTTTCCAGCCAAGCACTTTAACTTGCCGCACTCTCAGCGTATTCTCAGGACCCTTCAACTCAATCTTAATTAGATGATTATCTCCTCCGGGAAGCTCACTTGTTACCCAGCCAATGTGCCTAGAATCCAAGTCGGCCTTGGAGTAAGAAAGATTGTTACAGTTACAATCTATACATCAACAATCCCACACATTTACTACACCCAGAAAAAGCTCTCAAGACCTGAGGGTATTACAGAATGTTAGACTGGAGTTAATCAATTAGGCAACTAAACAAATATTCTATACACGCTTCAAATCATTTTAATAAATCCCTCTGAAATGTGTGATATAGAGAAAGACAATTTTTTTTTCCTCAAACCTTGTTTTTAGTGGCTGTCTACAAGTCATGCTTTTTACAATATAGCTGGGTAGTAGCACAGTTGTATTGGTATCCATTTAAACAGAAACTGTCTGGATAAAGATTTTCTTCTTTTTTGAAGGTAAAAGCTCTGGGAAGTCATCCTTAGTCCCCAACCCAGATTAGGAATGCAGCCACTGAAGTGCTACTACACTTGTTATGCACATATTTGTTCAGATACAGACTAAACATCTAAGGATGGATAAGAATGGCACCTTCACACAGAATGTGCATCTTAAAAATCAGTTATGGCGGCTCTTATTTTTGTTCTAAGAGTCTTCTTTTAAAAAGAACTACAAAACAAATTCTGAGTGACTGCACTAACAGAAAAAGAAACTGACAGCAGATGAGCTATTCAATGCAGACTATGGGTCTGCGTTAGAAAAAAACAGGGCTCCTTTTAAAGTGTCCACCTCTTCAGCTAAATTGAAATAACACCTACTTTATATTTATGTATTCCCATTCACAACACTTAAATAAGAAAAAAATGCCATTTACCTTTTTATTTGCTGAAAAATCCTAAAACATTACATGGAAGGGAGAAAACTGTTTGCCATGTTTACCCTGTCAGATGTTCATTAAATGTGTAGTCATACAATCAGATTCATTAATTTCTAAAATGTAAAATGTATACTTTACTAAACTACATATCACACTACTATATTGACAAGCTTTACCTGCTTGACTCTGCATAGGTCTTCCACAGTCTTCCCACATAAAACTGTCATTGAAGTGACTTTGTTCTTAAAGACAAACAAAAAAATGTATATTGGTTTTAGGTTTAATGTAAGCAGTAATAAATAGATTTTATTAGAATTATAAATTCTAAGACAGGCATTGGATAACCATTTCAGAAACATTTGTAAGGAAAGCAAAAAATCCAAAACCAGCCCTGGGCGACAAACAGTATTGGTATTGCGTCTGCTGCAAACATTTGCTTTATAGATAGGAGCAAAATGTGCACAATAATGAGCAGGGCAGAAAAAAAAAACCCCTAAAACCAGGCTTATAGATGTTACAGTCTGAGAATTTAAGTGGCACTCCAGATAAACAATGCCAGTAAGTTAGAGCAGCGGTAAGGAGTAGTGCAAAGAAGACTTACTGGCTGACCGTGGACAATTTAGACCCAATATTAATTACAGTACAAAAAAAAAAAAGAAAAAAAGAAAAGGCAAACAGCAACTACATGGTTCAGAGTAGACCATTTAGAATACACATCTAAACTGCATACACTGAAATCTGATAGCTGGCCTCTGGTTGGTCCAATCTGTATACAATGCCTTAGCCAGCTCATATTTGAACATATAACAGATTACAATATCATGCACTCTATAAAGTAAGTGGTTATACATACCCCTAAGTCACGGGAGTTGTCCACGTGGACTGATACATAACGTGCATTAATGCCTTTCACACAATTTATTGTGATGCTCTTTGTTTTATTTTTGTCTTCATCACCTGACTCCCAAAATGTCTCTGTAGACCCATCTGTTAAACTGCCAATCATAGCTGGTCTGCTGGAAGTCTTAATGTCCACAATGCTGGTCATGTCTTTTAGGGCAGTAACTAAGCAAAGTTCCTGGAAAATCAAATTGATTTAATTTTAGGAGGCATGCAGATAAGACGTTTTCACCAATAATAACACAACATCCTCAGAAATGCAAAGATTTTCACAAAGTTTAATGGACTTTCTGGAGACAACGCACAGCAGTAACTTCTTCTGTTTGAACAGATATTTAATTACTCAGATAGTCTAAGACAGAGGGTACGGGGACTGGTGCTTTTGACTCATTTTATCTGTGAATGTACATGGAGCTTCAGCTATTGAGATCTATAAGCTTTTACAGCAATGCAGTTAGCCTTAACCTGTTAAACCTTTACAGGTGGTCATGAAATTTCAACTAGGAAATATTCTGTTTTACCTTGCTACAATACGTGTGAAATTAGATTTTTGTCTCAATTATAATAAGATATTTACAAATGCTATATATCCTCTTTATTTTGGAAACTTAGAGTCTTGATGACAATACTGTATATTGGTACTACTGGTGCACTGCATATTCTGTTGCTCACGAAGCATTACTAGAGATGTTTATTCTAAAGGTTTAGAAGGTAAGGAGATACAGTGGCTTGATAAAGTATTCATACCTTTTGAAATTTTCCACATTTTGTTATGTTGCAACCAAAAACAAATTTCCACCTCAACTGACAGGCCAGGCAAGGACAGCATTAATCAGAGAAGCAGTCAAGAGGCTCATGGTAACTCTGGTGGAGCTGCAGAGATATCCACAGCCCCGGGGGGAGAATCTGTCCACTTGACAAATCTGACCTTTATGGAAGAGTGGCAAGACGAAAGCCATTGCTGAAAAAGCCATATGAAATGCAGTTTGCGAGAAACTATATGGGGGGATGAGACACCGCAAACATGGAAGAAGGTGCTCTGATCAGAGAGACCAAAATTTTACTTTTTGACCTAAAAGCAAAAAGCTATGTGTGGCGGAAAACTAACACTGCACATCATTCTGAACACACCATCCCCACTGTGAAACATGGTGGTGGCAGCACCAAGTTTTGGATGCTTTTCTTCAACAGGGAAGCTGGTCGGACTTGATGGGAAGATGGATGCAGCCAAATACAGTGCAATCTTAAAATAAAACCTGTTAAAGTCTGCACAAGACATGAGCCAGGGGTGGAGGTTCACCTTCCAGCAGGAAAACTACCCTAAACATACAGCCAGAGCTACAATAGAATCTTTTAGATCAAAGCATATTCATGTGTTAGAATGGCCCAGTCAAAGTCCAGACCTAAATCTAATTGAGAATCTGTGGCAAGACTTAAAAATTGCTGTTCATAGACGCTCTCCATCCAATCTTACAGAGCTTGAGCATGGGCAAAAATGTCACTCTAGATGTGCAAAGCTGGTAGAAACACTCAAAAAACTTGCAGCTGTAATTGCAGCTAAAGGTGGATCTACAAAGTATTGACGCCACACTTTTCAGACATTTCTGTGTAAAAAATGTTGAAAACCATTTATCATTTTCCTTCCACTTCCCAATTATGTGCCACTTTGTGTTGGTCTATCACATAAAATCCCAATAAAATATATTTATGTTTTTGGTTGTAACATGACAAAATGTGGAAAATTTCAAGGGGGTATGAATACTTTTCAAGGCACTGTATGTCACAGTTAAAATGATCTAAAAAAGAGGAGATTTATTTAGATACATGGTATTTTAGAAACTTTTACACATTTAACCCATTACTCAGACTGTAGATCTGAGAAAAGGTTGGATATTTTTACTGTGAGACATTCACACCAAAATACACAGGCTCTTAATGCTTTCAGTCTTATGTAAATAAAGTGTTCAGTGTTCAGAGTTAGGTCAGAACTTTCAATACTCTAGGGCTGCTGTTCACGCCATCTGCATACATTGACACCTTAATGTCAGTGGCTGACACAGACCAGTACAGCTGCTCTGTGCCACCCATTGGTTGTTGAAAGGGAGTTATACTGCACAGCACAACTCAAATGTTGATGAGATGTTATTAGAAAGCTTGTCCAGATGTCTTTTGTTAGAAGATAAGTTCACTTTTTGCACAAAATAATAAATGCATTTTTTTGCAGGTAAATAAATGTGCATTTATTATCTTTGTCTGCAGGAGCCAGTAAAGCATTGCACCTGCGGTCAGTAGATTACTGGTGTCAGGCAGGTCTCCTGCAGATCTGTCAATATACAGTAAATGCTTGCTTGTATGGGATATATACTGACAAGAAGATTCAACTCACCACCTAACACACTTGGATCGCTTTTCAGAAGAGCAGCTGTGCATGCTGCACTTGTGAATGAGCCCTTTGTT